TGCCGCGCCGTCACGTAGCTGGTGTTGCTTGTTTTCAGCTTGTAGTCCAGGCTCTGCATCAGCTCATCCTGGGCTCCGGCGGTGACTACCTCCATGCTTGTTTATATACACGCATTTTGACTCGTGCGGCGAAGGAAAACCATTCCTCCAGTGCCTACATTGTGTAGGCACTGGAGGAATAGCATTTTTGTTGCGCAAAACCGTGCAAAGAAGCTATTCTTGTAGTCCGTATATAGATATACGGACGAGAAGAATAGCATTTCTCAGCGCAAAACCGTGCAAAAGCTATTAGTCCAGTGTCTATATTGACATAGGCACTGGACTAATAGCATTTTGAAGCGCAAAACCGTGCAAAACCGTTGCAAAATAAACTCTCCCCAGGAGGGTTTTATTTTTTTTTAAGCAGCCTCAATGTCTCGCGCCAGCTGGTCAAAGCTGGGCGTCCGGCGTGACTGCCCGGAACTGGAGCTCGCCCGCGAGCTCTGGGACTGGGGCAGAGCCACGGGTTCAGGCCCCAGGAGAAGGGGCGCGGCGTGTTGTTGGACTGCGCCTGCACGCGGAAGCCGGACTGCGAGGGCGCGGCTGCTTGCGGGGCTGCCTGAAGTGCTGCTGCCTGAGCGCAGCGTGAAGTGCTGAGGCTGAGTGGCGTCATTCATGTTGTTGGCGGACCGGACGTCCTGCACGGCCGCGTCCTCGCTGCCCTGCTGGGGCCGGAAGAGCGTGTTCTCCAGCACCCAGCCCGTGCCGCGCCGAGGCCGTAGGCTGCCGTTGCCGCCGCGCCAACTCCCGCCGCGCCAGCCAACGTTCCAGCAACCTCGCCCGCGGTGGGCGCCAGGGCTGCTGCTCCTTCCGCCAGGCCCCCAGGTACCCAAAGGCTCCGCCCACGCCCTCGGCGGAACGGCAACCTCGCCCTCCTCCGCAGCACGGCCGCCGTCTCCTCAACGGCCTGCGCCGCGCCACGCTCCACCTCCTGCGCGCGCTGCCCCGCCTCGTCCAGGAGCGCTCCACGTCACTGGGCCGGCCTATGATCTGCGGAGGCGGCTGCGCCTGGCCCGGACGGGGCAGCACGTTCAGGCGCACGTCGTCCTGGGGCAGCTGAGAGCGGAAGGCCTGCGCGGCTGCGAGCCCCGCGGCCCCTGCGCCTATGAGGTCCGCTGCCGCCTGAGCGCGTCTGCAGTGCTGCGCAGACGGTCCGTGATGGAGGGCGGCCCCTGCCCGTTGCTGGCCAGCGCGCCGGCCTCGGGGTCTCCCGCCAGGTCGTCCTCAACAAAGCGGGTTCCGCCGTACCCTTGGTACCTCCGCGCAAGGCGCTCATTCCGCTCAAGGTAGCCCACCACCTGCTCAAAGCGCGGGCGCTGGTTGAAGCCGTGCGCCCGAAGCGTCTTCATTTACTGTTGCGCAACTTCGCCCGCCGCCCGTTCCACGCCCCGGCGCTCGGCCCGCGCGTAGCGCAGCTGGGTTACCTGGCGGTGCACGGCCTCCGTCAGCCGGCTCACGTCGTCCAGGTGCCGCTGCCCCTCCTGCGCCTGCCTGCGCTCGCCCAGCCAGTTGTTGAAGGCCCGCGCCTCCTCCAGTTCTCGGTAGCGCTTCAGCAGCAGCGGCTGCAAGTTGTAGCTCGGATAAGTCTTGCGGAACCACCGGAGCATCCGCGGCTCGTTGCGGGGCTCTATGGACATCATGCTTTTATACCAGTACACTTGCGCCTGTGGTCAGCCGGTCATAAGCGGACTGCCTCTCCAGCATGCGCAGGGCGCGCTGCTGCTCTCTTATGAGCTGAGGCGCCTCCGGTTCAGCCGGCGCCGGTGCCTCAACCGGTGCCGGTGCCTCCGCCGGCGCCGTCTCAAGTGGAGGCGGCTTTGGCTTGCGCTTTGGAGCAGCCGGTTCAGTAGGCACGTCCTGCTTAGGTTTGTTCTTGCTCCCAGGGGGCCTGCCCCGCCGTTTCGGTTCCGGCGCAGCGTCCTGCGCAGCGTCCGGCGCAGCGTGCGCCTCTTGCGCCTCTTGCACCTCTGCGCCTCCGCCTCTTGTTCGGTCGGCTCCATTTAATTATACGTGGTCAAGATATAACACGAACGACAAAGACGACCCGCGAAGCCGGACGACGTTGCCGTCCATTTGACCTCGTCCTGCGAAGGATTCGAAGTCTAAAACGCTGCGTGCAGGCAAAATAATGACCCGCCCTCAAAGGAAACCCTGGCTGGCTTTTTTGGTTGGCTTCTGGCTGGCTTTTTTGGCTGGCTTCTGGCTGGCTTTCTGGCTGGTTTGGTTTGGCTTCTGGCTGGCTTTCTGGCTGGTTTGGTTTGGCTTCTGGCTGGCTTTCTGGCTGGTTTGGTTTGGCTCCTGGCTGGCTTTCTGGCTGGTTTGGTTTGGCTCCTGGCTGGCTTTCTGGTTGGTTTGGCTTGGCTTTCTTTTTTTTCCCTGTTTTTTTAGCTCGCCTTGCAGAAACGCAGCTGCTGGGCATTTTGCAAGCATATCTAGGGGTCATTATTTTGCAGCCACACGCCTGCACGCAGCGTTTTAGACTTCGAATCCTTCGCAGGACGAGGTCAAATGCTGGACGGACGAGTGCCAGGAGCCTCTCAGGTAGAATAGAATCCATTTGGGAAACCCCCTCTAAAGAGAGAGGTGGTGGACCGGGGCATCCAGACGCTGAAGAAGGACCTGGCCACGTGGCGCGCAAGGGGGCAGTGGAGCACTTCGAGCGGCCTACAACGCGCGGCACCACGAGACGGTGCACGGCGCGCCCGAGGACGTGGAGAAGCAGCCACAGAGTTCGGTCTGCAAGACAACGCCGACAAGTTCCAGCACAACAAGGACCTCAGCGTGAAGGCGGTGGAGGACGCGGGCGCCTTCCGAGCGCCGACGACCCGCTTCAACCTCAGAACGGCGACGTGCAGCAGCTGGGGCCGTCCGCAGCGGAGGGCCGGGAGACCCTGCTGAAGCTGGCGCTGGCAGCGCAACGCGGCGGGCCGCTGACGAGACGGGCCTGCCCGTCTCGTCAGCCTTCCTGGCGCCTCCAAGGCCAGACCATCGACTAGCCTCCTTTGAAAAAAACTGGTTTTTTGAGGCCGCTGTCGGAGGCCGCGCTGTTGTTGGACACTTGAGCTTGCTCGCCCGCCCGAAGAGATCGTCCGAGAAGTCGGAGGTGTTGGTCACGGTGAGCGTGTTAGGCGAAGAGCTGCGGCGCGGAGACCGCCGCACACCACGCTGCCCGTCGACACTCCGCCGCTCGTGCCGTGAAGGTGAGTCCAGGCTCTCGCCCCGGTGACCGTCCCGGTGGCTGCGAAGCTCGCCGCCGTCGCTGCGCCGGAGGCCGGGTGCCTGTGGACACTCGCCGACCGTGGTGAAGTTCCGGCGTTGCCGTGTTGTTGATGGTCAGAGTGCTGCCGGTGTTCCGGTGGCCGAGCTCAGGTCCACGCTGGCCGCCCCGTGATGCTCAGCGACTGCCACACGGCTGACGGTGCCAGTGCTGTAAGCGCTGCGCAGGAGACTGCCCGAGGCGTCCACGCGTCGCGAACACGTCCGTGCAGTTCACGTCGTTGCACAGCAGCTGGTCGCAACCACGTTGCCCTGCGCGGTGAGCCCGTCCGCGTGGAGCCCGTGAGGGCCGCAGGTCCGTCACAGAGACCGACTCTGCCTCGAAGGCGCTCCTGATCTGCATGCTGTACAGGTCCAGCGTGCCCGCCGACTGGTGCACCAGCCTGCAAGCACAAGTGGTCAGTGATCGCATCACATATCCGGCGAGCACAATGTGTGGGAGCTGATCGCTTGTAGAGGGAACCTCCTTGCATTTGCACACAAGCCTGAAGATTCTCCGTGGCGCCCGAACATAGACAGGCGTCGCAACCGCACGAAAGCGGGGGCGATGGACAATCCGGTTGCTCAGAGCCCTAAAGTGGGGGTATGATCACAGGCTCCGTGTGGGGGGGTTGTACACGCGTTGTCAACCTCCCCGCAACCCAGAGCCTGCGCCTCTGAGCAACACCAGTCAAAAAAGGTGCGGAGTGACTCGTTGTGCCTTTCTTGGGTCGCATGTTTTCCCTGTTGGTTTGAAGCAGTGAACAGGATTCCAACCTGTTTGCATCCCAAAGCCTCTGAGCAACACCAGGAAAAAACCTGCGAACGTGTGTGCATTTCTTGGCTGCTTTTCTTTGCATGTGAGTTTTAGGCGTGAAGCAGTGAACAGGTTTTTAGCGCTAATGGTTGTTGTTTCCCGTGTGTTTGTGTTCGAATTCTCGGCCGTTGCCATTTCTGCCTCAAGTCCAAACAACATGTTTTAGGTGGGACCGAAATGGTCCGAGAAAAAAGGGCGACCCCTTTGTTTAAAATCCACCCACCCGCCCTGCGTATTCGAGAGCTTCAAACCCCGTGAGCGTGTATGCGTTTCTTGGCTTCTTTTCCTTGCATGTGAGTTTTAGGCTTGAAGCAGTGAACAGGTTTTTAACGGAGTATGGAGTCCTTGCCCAAACCTTGGGATGGCTTGATACCGTCCACTCCTCCCACGGGAAACGCGCGAGCCATGCTCCGGGCCCTTGCGGCGATTGCGTGCCTCCCGTTTTCTCTGGGCTCGGCTTTGGTGCCGCGGCGCGTGGCTTTCGGCGCCGGAGATTGGCGGCACAAGGTGCGAAGGAAGGGGCGTCAAGGGAGGTAACCGTTTGGTTTTTCCTTTTCTTCCAGGGCTTGAATCGTTCCCCGGCAGGCGCTGGAGGCGCTGTGGACGGAGGGGGCCGTGGTGGTCGCCGACGTTGGCGACGGAGGGGAGGAAGACTTCAAGGAGGCAGGTGGCCATGTTGGATAGGGCTCCCTCTATGTGTCAGGATCTTTGCTTTGATCTGTGCTGTTTGGTGCCCTGTTTCTGGTTGGGATCGTTTTTTTTTGGACGGCACTACAGGAAAGCCAAAGGGAAACAACCATTTTGGCGCAGACCCAATTTTTTGTCCAAGCAAACGAGACCTTTGCAACCTGTGAAGGAGTATAAGAAGGTTGTTTCAGCTTTGGGGTAAACTCACCGTATACGTCCTTCGTTTTAGGCTTGATGGTTCCCTTAGACACATTTGGGCCAGTCCATGAACCCAACTTGATGTATGCCTGAATCCCGGGGTAGGTGTTGACCCTCAAAGGAATTTAGCCAAAAAGGCTTAGCTCAAATCTGTTCAATCGTGTGTTATTTCCCACTTGGCTGTTTGACGAGATGTGTGGCTTTCGAGCGCAGCTTGAATCACGCTGTGTGCGTTGCACTTTTGGTTCCAGGGTTTGTCGCGTCAGTGCAGACAGAAAAAACCCACCCACCCGCTGGTTTCCCTGTTGTGTACAAGGCCACGCCCTAAGCCAGAGCAGAGCAGGCCTAAGGGTCTGACTCGGTATTGGGGGGGAGCAGGCCTAAGGATCTGATTCGCCCCACTTACAGATGAACAGATGAACAATGAGTTCAATTAGTATATTTTCTCAAAACTACCCTGCACGTGGCATACCCTGAACGTTTTCTAGATGTTTTTGAGTGCCGAGCTGGTTGCGGGCCAAACGTTGTTTTCCTTCTTCTTCTTTTTTTGCCAGGCAGCGCTGAGGCTACCGCGGCAGCTCTTTGCAGCTGCTCGACCCCGACTCGAAGACCTCAAAGTTAGGTCAACTTTGGAGACAGCCTCCTTTTTGTGGGCACCTTAGAGCCTGGCTTTGGAGGCGACGCACCTACAATTACGTCTCATTTCCTTTCATTCCAGGTGCCAGGTGACCTTGGTTTGCCAAATCCAACTTTGGGAGGGGAAGCCAAAAGGACAGCTGCTTTCTGCGGATTGTGCCACAGAAACTCCACGTGCCATGGTTCCGGGGCTTTACATGGGGAGAAAGCGGAAAATAGGTTCTGGTTGGTTTGCAAGGGGCAATCAAAGGAAGTCCAAAATACTAATCCCTAATTCGAAGTCACAACAGCATCTTTGGGGGGCTCTGACAACTTGGACAGCAGAATGTATAGGGCCAGAGCTGAGCAAGATGGAGTAAAGCGAGCTAAGATCCTCTTTGAAGTGGTTTGGGGTGGATTGATTGAAGCCAACATTTTCGAGAATTCCTTTCATTGACCCAAGCAAGGAGCACGGAGCATGGTCCTTTATATTTGGGCTGGATATGGTTGCCGATTTGCCAAGAAAGGGAATCAACTACTCATTGCAATTTTGAGAAAAAGGACCTGGCATTTTCCACCACCATGGCACTAGTAAGTCAGCTTTATCCAGGTGTGTCAAAATAGGCGGACCCCCAAATGAGTGGTTGCCCTGTGGTTTCCTTTTAACTTTCCCCAAACAGGGAACCCTCAAAGCACGCACAGCTCCATTTCCAGGTCGCCACCGACTCCCCTACCATGAGAGCGCACAACCATAATGTTTTTGTGAAGGTTTCTCAGTTGGAAACCCCGTCAACGGGCTGTTCGCGGACCTACAAAACGAGGAGTTTTGGGTTCCTAGTGCCTATGGTAGTCTCGCCCAACAAAGCGTGCAATGTGTCCAAGCGGATTTGTTTGCGTAAACATGAGGTTGCCACCCCAAGTGTGGAGGTCGTTCAGAAGCTGCCCCACAAACAAGTGCGGGTTTACCCAGCGAAGTTGTTTTGCACAAAGTTCGGCTTCATCACCCAACGTGAGGGTCATCTAAGAGAATGTTTGCTTACAGAGAGGCATTTTGTCCAATGTCCAAATGCCAAGTGCAGGTTGAAAACGCAGTCATTGGGGGGGGGGAAGGGGGGTTGCTGGCGGCAGAGGATTTTGAACAAAAATTGGCTTCATCCCCCTGTGAAGATCTTTTGAGCAAATGTCCCGGAAACCAAACGGAGTGTGCGTGAACATCTCCTTGGAGTTTCCCTAGGTATGAAAATTATACTTCAACCAAAGCCGAGGATTTCTCTTGTTTTTGGACCCACCCCTCGCCCTGCTTTTGGGCCCATGTTTGCACCAGAAGGCAAAATGGAGGTCAAGCATTCAGAAAGCAAAATGAAGGTGAACAAACATGTTCGGGTCCCCTCCTTGACATTCAGATGTGCCTTATCTTTTCTGAGATGGATTTTCAGGGGTCCCCCAAACAACTTTTGTCGTCTTGAGGAGAGGCCTAAGCTGCTGTCCGCGGATGCCCCGGTGTCCGGTGTCCATGAGGAGGGCAGGAAAACGCAAGCGCGAAAGTGGGTTTTCTGCCGCAACACACGGCGCTTCCCTGAAGAATCTCCAAAGCAACAGAAGGAAGGCCGAGTTCAACCAGTATCATACAGCTGGGTGCAGGCAGTTCCCACAACCCTAAGGACCATCCCAAGTACTCCAAACTTGTTTCCGTGTGATTTCGCAGCTGCCAATCCCCCTCTGAACATTTGCAAGGGGACGGTTGCAACTCCCACCCCAATCACTTCCCACAGCCCATGGCAGCTTGAATGCCTGGTTCTTGATTCCCCCGAAACACCAACCGAGGCGCCTTCAAGTTTGGCTCGTGCCCGAGGGTTTGCGGGGTTCTTTGTGAGCCAAAATTTCAACCACCCAACCTGGGCCCCCAACCCGTTTTGAGGGACGCAGATTTGACAAGCTTTCGGAAGGAGTGCAGCTTTTCAGCAACCCCTACTCCAAATTCCCGCTTTCTTTCGGGTATATGTGCAGCAATCTGGTTTTGCGTGGTACCTCCGTTGAATCAGGCGTTGACATCTTTTCGCACCATGCCAACTAAAGATATGTGGGTATTGGGAGCAGGGGCTACCTGGGTGTTCCAAGCACTTGAGTAAGTTGCGACCAGGGTTGCTCGTTGCTCCGCTCTTTGTGCTCACCTCGTAGAGTCCCTCCCTGAGGAGCTGTTAGAGGCCAAGCGCCGGGGCAAGTACTTGCCCGGCAGCGGCCTGCTGCCCCACACGGACGGTTACGTGTATGGGGACTTCTTGCCAGACTTTGTTACCCTGCTCCCTGGTCGGAGAGACAGGGCGCCTCTCAAGTGGTTTGGTTTCGTTCGTGTGGAGGTTAGGAAGTGGTTTCCCATTTTGCCCTGCACAGAACTGGGGGTGCAAATCGGGACCCAAACCACCAATCCAAACCCGTCAGGGGGAAGCTGAACATTAGGCGCCCTACCCGCCAGAAAGAACCCTCCGATTAGAGCACCGTCTAAGAGGGTTCTGGGTTGTGGGGCGGCCTTAGGGAAGAGGCGTGCCCTTCTTGATTGAGTGGTTTTTTTCCAAGACCATTTTGGGGGTCCCTGTTTTGACACATACACATGCGAGGGGCATGGTATAACTAGTTTACCTCAAACACCAGGGGACTCGCTGATTTTCTCTCCTCTTGGGAAGACAACTCATTTTGATCGTGGCCAAGACTATCATACAAAGACCCTGTGCTTGGGTTTGGGGCAAAAATTTTTGAGCCAGACATTAGCCTTTGCACAAAGGTGGTGTAAAATATAGGTTCTGTTTTTGTCAAAGGTTTGATCACGATATCCATTTGGAAGATACTTTCTCCCGGTTGCAGGCCGCCCAAACCAAGGGGCAGAACCCGTTGTCGTGACTCAAGGCCAAATCACGCACAAAGCATGCATCGAAGATGAGTATTTTCAGGGTTTTTCCTCGGCATAAGTAATGGGTCCAATTATTATCCTAACCAACATGAAACCTGTCCGGAGATTCCTTGTTTGGACCTTTTTCCTAGACTTTTGGTGGGTTCTATGCTGAAGAGATATATGAGGCATGGGTATGTCCTACGGGGAGAAGACATTCCTTTGGGACGGAAGACAACCAGTTGGACATCACCCAGTGAGCCTTCAGGCAGGATGTTTCTCGGGTTGGAAATGGAACGCTGTAAGACCCTCTTGAGGTCTTCCTGGCTCGAAGTCTCTTCGGCTCCTTTTTCTTTCCCCTCAAACGTTTTGGACACCTGGCCATCCGCCGTGGATCTTTGGGATGGGGTGGGTATTTGGGGAAAACCCAAAAGTGGTGGTGAATTTCAGATACCGCCCTTAAGGCAATGGTCGGGTCAATAGAACACTGCTTACCTCTCAGGATGGTCATCCAAATTGATTTTTCTTGGGCCATGCTTTTAAAGGGATGATACTACCACCATCACCGAGGCTCTGTGAGGAGCCCTCCGTGGAAGGGGGCGCCAACACACTGCTGGATGGTGGCTTGGACGCGAAGTGACAAACACCTGCAAACAGGCAAAACAAGCGAAACAAGCAACGACGCAAGCAAGCAAACAAACAAACAATCAAGCGAACAAGCAAGCAAGCAATCAAGCCAGCAAACAAGCAAACAAGCAAACAAGCGAACAAGTCAACAAGAGAAAAGAAGCAAAAACAAAACCGACAGGCAGACGGACTCACAGACAGACAGACAGGGAGACGGAGACAGAGACAGAGACGGAGACAGAGACAGAGACAGAGACAGAGACAGGCGGACAGAGACAGCAGAGGCAGAGAGAGACACAGACAGACAGACAGACAGACAGGCGGACGGGCAGACAAACACTCACACAACAAACAAACACAAAACAAACAATCAAACAAACAAGCAAGCAGGCAATCAAGCAAGACAGCAAGCAAACAATCAAACAAGCCCACGAAACAAAACAAGACAACATTACAGGGGGGGGGGGTTAAAGGGACTCCCTGTTGCGTTTCATCTTACTTGGGGGGGTGTACCGGATGTCTCATTTGTTTTGTGAACCGGAGGTGCGAGGCGTACGAAATTTGGGCGAGAGGGTAGGATGGGGGCTACCAAAAAGTGGCCGCGGGACATGCCCCTTCCCTGAGGGTTTTCCTCAGCTTGGGCGCATTTGTTAGGGTGAGTTGCTGTGATATGAAGGGAATCCGGAAGTGACGTGGTCATGGGCATCAGAGAGTCTTCGGGTTGAGGTCTTATTTTAATGTAACATCCAAGGGACACCATCGTTTTTTTGGGGGTTAAGTCACACCCAAATAAGTATTGCAAGTCAACACATTGTACTTGGGCCCGAGAACAACTCCGGCAATTTGCGGATCATCCGATTGTTTACTTGCTTCCAACTGCTTGATATGTTTCGGGGCCTGTTGGTCAGAATTCCCCAGAACCTTGCTTTTTATCTACCCCACGTCGACCCTTGATTGTTCAAACCATTTAAGTTGGTTACAACCAAAGGATTCCGCTTCGGCCAACCATGGGACAGCCTCCCTTTTTCTGAAGCGGGGGGCCAAGTGAGAAAGTTGTTACATCGAAGCATTCACTCGAGCGAGAAAAGAAAGAAGCCGGCAAGTGACGTCAAACAGTGTCAAAAAGCGAGACCGGAATCCACGCGAACATGAAAGTAGCCATAGCGGATGCTCGCTTGCTTCTGTTTAGAATGTGCTGAAATGGCTGTGGTTGTCAAAAATAGGTACCTAAAATGAAACCCTGGTAAATGGAACCAAAGACTAAAACCTGCGGTCCCCTGGCGGCCTAATTTTGACCACGTGCTCTTCAAACAGAAGGCTTCTGAAACACTTTGTGCGAGCCTGCGCAGACGAAATGGATGACCCAGAGAGAGCAAGACGGCAATTACATCAGAGTCTCCTGATTGCGTCAGAGTCTGTGAAGATACATGCGCAACCGCAACATTGGCCGTCACAACCGTGTCAGAGTCTCCCTCTGGTTGCGACACTCCTGGGACTTCTTTCAATGCAAGTACAACGCAATTCGAATCGCAGGGTTTCCACAGAATGCTTTTGCCACTACTGTCTGGTCGTTGGCTACTGGCCTCAGCATGGCCCTTATATTCAGTTTATTTGTCCAAGGTCCGTGTACTATGCGCCGCGCCACACTGAGAGCGACCCCAGCATCTTCGATGTTCAAAATTCGCACCGCGCGCCAGCGAGAGAGATCCGGCCCACGCAAAGTCCTCAGAGGGTTTAGTTTTGATGTTCAATATTCGCACCTCGCCACAATGAGGACGATCCGACCCACCCAAAGTCTTCAGACAGGGTTCAGTTTCGATGTTCAAACTGCGTGCTGCGCCACGGCAACAGTTCAAGTCCGCAGAGCGCTCCAGTGCACCAATCCACAATTTCCGGAACTTGCACGGCGCACCAGCGACAGAAGGCCTTGGAAGACAGTGAAGTTGGCCACGCACTTTGCGCGTGACGAAGTCGAACTGCGCAAACATTGCACAAGGGAACTTTTGCGCAAGCCGGCGCAGACCGAACGCGCCTGCGAGGAGCGAGCATCCTGCTGAACACTCTGCCTTAGGCTTACCGTCAGAATCACATAGTGCGGACACACTGAGTCACTGCTTGGGGATAAAAAACAAAGAAACATGGCGATGGAGAAACCGAGGCGTCGCCTTGGCGCGTACCCTGGACCAAGAGGCCTTGCACTGGCTGGAGACCACGCCGGTGGATTTGTCGGAGGCAGAGCGGTTGGGGCATTCGAAGAAGGCGACCTGGGTCTTGGTAAAGCGATCCACTTGGATGGGGTTCGCGAAATTTCTCTTGATTCCCTGACCGCAACTGAGAGGGTTGTGTTGAGGATGTCTTGGCCCAATAGAGCTTGCAAGGTTGTTAGGTTCGGAACTCCAGGCATGGTTCGGACGGAGCTCTAATTTGGTCCAACACTGCTTACATTATTGCTCAGTGGATCCCGCTAGCCCAATAGTAGGTAACCAACGATTTGTTCTCAGTATCTGAAGTGTGGTGCCCTTGCCCACTGTAGTAGGACATCAGGTATGTTCACCAGGTTAGCTTTTTGCAGCTACCTATAGTAAGTGGACGCACTGGGTTGGGCTGTGTTATCAGGTTTCCCCGAGCGGTTTCCAGTCCGTCTCTCAAGGCACGGGGCCTAAGTGAGCGAAGGGCTGGGGACAGAGATACGTGTCAGGTTGCCGTTTTTTTTTTGGGGGGGGTTGGTTTAAAGGGACATCAGCATAAACATGTTACTTTTTTGGGGGGTCGGCTTTTTTCAACTCCAAAAGAGGCGTGGTCCTGTGGAGGCTCGGTACTCCTTGGTTTCCCAATAGGAAGCCGATGTCCATGAGGCTCCTCGAGGAAATCAGCCATCAGCCCTTGGAGGCCGATGCCTCGGGCATCGCGGCGGGCCGCAAAGCGGAGGGCCCGGTGATCCAGTGGCCCAGCACCTCCACAGGTGGGAAATGGCCGGAGAGTCGGTTTTTGGAGGGTGCGAATGGTCACAGGTGATCTGGGTGTAGTCCTGCTTTTGCAGTCGTTGGATTGCTTTCAACCCTTTGGGGGTGTTTTAAATTAAAGGAAGCCAGAAGGAAACCCGAATGCCGTTGGGGGGGTCGGCCAAGGAATGACGCACCATGTTTTGCCAGGGCGCCGCCACCATGAAGGTTGGGGGGATCCAACTATTTCAGGTTCTGGAATTACTGTAGAATATGTAGATGGATTGGATGCGGCGAATCTGTGCATCCACTGTAGGATACAAAGAGAGGGCGAAACAAGAGCACGAACAAGGAGGCCGACAGGGAGAAGCATAGCCACACAAAGCGCAACCAAATTGTGCTCTAGAGGCCGTCAGGGGGTCCGGCCCTAGCCCCCCAAACATGGATTTTGTTTGGGGGTTCAAGCCATTTTAGAGGGGATTCGAGTCACTTTGCCACAACCCCAAACTCCACAAATTGATTCGCCAGGGGTCGAGCTCTAGCCCCCCGTTACAGTTAGTTTAAGCGCCGGGAACATGTCACATGTTTCTTGAAAGAAGCAGAGGACCAAACACGTTGAAACAAACATCGCTGTCAAGCATCACACTTTTGTAACATCACCAACTCTTTGTCAGCGTGATGTTACACCAAAATCCGTCAAGTACAGGACCGGGGTAAACATCGTATCTGTTGTAACGTCCGTCGAGAGAAGCTATCAGGAGTCCAACTGGACGTCCTTCCCGTTGAGAGGGGTAGCGGTTGCCCATTCGAGTTTTTGGTCCGTGACAGGCGAGGTGCAGGGTGGCTTGCTGGGACACAGGGGAACCCTCAAAAGAGGCCTGTTGAAAAGAAAAGAGCCGTGTTGCTTTGCTCTTGGGGTCCGACCTGAGGCAGGCAAACCCTTTGGGCAAGGCGAGGGTTGTAACGAAGTTTTTTTGTTGGCGCCCGAAGGAGACGTGTGCATTCCTTCAACGCATGGGCATGCATCAACATGGGGACAGTTTCCTCTGGTTTCTCTGTACGCCAACCTGAAAAAGGGTACCAGCTCCAAACAACTCACATGGGCGTGTCTTGATTTGGTACGGTGGAAAGGAACATCAAGATCAGGCAACATCCATTTTGGGAGTTCCCATAGTTCGTCACCCAATTTTGAGAACCGATGTGTGCTTGACATGGAGGTGAGCGGCGGCTGAAGTGGCGGCGCCAGATCAATGTGGAGGAAGCCAAGCGGACCCGCAACTGGCATCCTTTGGACGCGAGCGGATCCGCGGCTGAAGGAGTGGCAGGTCGGTATGTGTCTCTCGGCAGCGATCTTCGACCTGGGAGCTGTAGGCTTTAAGCATCACACACACACTTCCATAACTTCGGAGAACTTCACAAACTCCGATCAAACCAATGAAATAATCCTCGGATCAGAGTTGGGGCAAAGGAAAAACGCAGCTCGACCGGGCGTTTTTTTTATTCCCCCCCCGTGAGGTCTTTGTGGAAGCCGCTGCCCAACGCCACAGAGGCCGAAGCCAAGGAGATCCGCCGGAACTTGGCGGAGCTCGATGGGCGCCTGCGGCCCGGTGGAGCGGTGTCGGGGGCAGTTGCCCGTGTGGCTGTGGAGTGAGCCCCTGACTTTTTGCTCTTTCTTTTTGTTGTGCTTGGTGTGGAGTGTGGTGTTTCGGGGTTGGGGGAAAGCCGTAAACGGTGGTTGTCTTCGGATGGGAGATCTCACATGGAAACCGCCATCCCACATTGGGATATGATGCTTGTATTCATCTATCCCATTTAGAGAGAAGCTCGGGCGTGTGGTTTTGAGAGTACCCTTGGGATTGTCTGAAAGGGAAATCAAAGGGAAACCCATCATTCTTGGTGTGTCCCTTACTTTGACACAGAGTCATGGGGTGCTTGACCAGAGACTACAGGCATTTGGTGGGACCCAATTTCCTCTGAAGAGAGAAGCTATCTGCCAACCTAACTTTGGATAGTTACAGAATCCACGGCTCCCAGGGATCCTGAACAGCGCTCACCGCATGCTGATGTGTTTGCATACCCAAGTTGCGGTTCGGGCCGGTTCGGGTCCACAGCTCCGGTGGACCTTTCAATTATGCTGTGCATGGAGACAATGGCCGGGAACTAGCGATGGGCGAGTCCGGATTTCATTACTGCAAATCCCAACCGATGTGGAGTGGACTTCGGCCAAAGCATTGCACATTTACGCTCTGCCAAAACAGCTTTCAGAAGACGTCCTTGTTTCTTCCCGCAATTTCTCCCAACTTGGAAGCCGTGTCATCATTTTGTTGTTAAGTGGGACATGGAGGTCCAAGCTCAAAGACGAGCGCCCATGTCTCGAGGCAAAGCGCCTTTGCCTCCGCGGAGCGCGAGGGGACCTTTTCCCTGGCCCGAGGCAGGTAGGGTCCGTGCCAATTTCTTTGCGCAGCTTTTCTTTTTGGTGCGGCTGGGAAAGCGCTGAAGCAAGCCGTTGGCATTTTTAGGCTTGCTTGAAGACACACACCAACACTGGTGGGTTTCCTCTTGATTTGCGTTTGAGTGCCGACATTACCGACCAAAAGGAGGTCCGAGAAGCATTTTTCAAAGCTTCCTGGTTTTCTCCAAAAAGCTGGATCAATCCCTTGAATTCAACCACCCACAGCCACAATGAAAACCTGGGTACAACGTTAAGGGACAGTCCCAGCCAACGCGTGCGTTTCTAGCTTTGGGTAGACCCCTTCGAGTCCCCCTTGAGTGGTTTTCTGCTGTGGTCACCGACAAATGGGACCTGGTCGGCCCCTTTCTTTGGATAGTCGACGCTTTGGTTGAGAGTCGGCCTTTTCGAGCGAGAAAATGACGCAGTAATTTGGGTGTGGCTCAAAATTAAACACGGGGGGCAAAGGGCAGGCTTTGGTACCCAGATTTCCACTAACCAGGGGCCCACGCCATGTTGGAATTCCGGTTTTTTGAGCCACATCCATTTGGGGTGTCTGGTTTCACCAGCATCGACCAGGTGAGGCTTTGGTCATCGATAACTGGCGGGTCCTGCACTCTAGGGGTCCTTACAAAGGCACCCGCAAGATGTGGCGCGCCTTGGCGAGAAATTTGACAAAGAACTCCAAATGCCCGGCTCGTTGTCAGTCCGAAGGATACCTTGGGGCCAAATAAAGCATCAGGTGTAGAGGATCCGCTTGCGCAGCAGGCTTTTGGGAGATAAGTATTCAAGGAAGCCTGTTCTTCAGGGTATCCCAGCAACCATGCTTTTTTGTGTATGATGTTCACCCCGAACTGAAAAAGGAGGTATTCACCATGAAAAGAAAGTTTGTTGAATATGTGCCCTCAGAGCGCGGGTATTTGGAGGCTGATGTTCGACTCTGCCTCATGTTCCTCCCCTAAACCAAGTAAAGGTGTCTGCAAGCTGGTTGCTGGTTTGGCTGGTTTGGGGGGTTGGCTGGTTGCTGGTTTGGTTGCAGGTCCCCCACATTTCGCTGGTTTCAATTGAGACACACAACATTTTATCCCAGGACTTCTGGCTCGGTTTTGGCTCCACGCCTGAAACAGAAGCGAAGCGGAGGTACCCCGCTGTGGACCCTGTAGGTCTGTCTGCCTATCGGTCTGTCGATTTGTCTATCTGTCTGCCAATCTGTCTGTCTGTTTGGGTGCTTATCGGTCTGTTTGTCCATTTGTCGTCTGTCTTGTTGCCTTCCTATTGGTCTGACATGGCACAGATCGCGCATGGTTCCTTCATGAGGTTTTGGCTTCAAAATCCTCCCCAGCGACTGGTGGCCCTTGAAGTCCACCATGTACTGCATGGTGGAAGGGTAAACCAGCGCTAACCCACATCCACCAATGCAAGGGACTGCACTCATGTTTTCTTTGAAAAACAAAACACATTGCCAATCCCCTTTGGTTCTCAGCACCAAAAGCACGAGCATAACATCACGCGTCAGCTTGGCCTGGCGAAGCCTCTTTGGGTTCAAGCCTGGGAACCCCAACTCCCCAAAGCCTGTGTCCCCCGAACTTCCCTTTAGGCGCAACATCAATGTGGATGGACGAAATCCTGCACCACCTAACCATGAGACACCATTGTTTGTTGGCATTTAGTATTTACCTTGGAATCAACATTCCAGGGTTTCTTAGATGGTGCAGGATTTCGCCCATCCACAGCATCACCCGCCAAAAACGCCCCCAAGCCAAACTTGCGGTTCCCCCAATGGCCCAAACTTCCTTCCCCCAGGCGTGTGGTCCTGGACGTCGGAGGGCTCCGGGCTACCCCCCGGCGGAGCCAAGACCTCCCAGCCCCTCAGCGAGGTCTTCGACGCGCCGCGCGCGGAGCTCTGAGGCCGCTGTTCGGCCAAAGGGGCCGAGCAGCAACTGCTTGTTTTGCTATTTTTGTGGGGAGGGGGGGGGTTAGAATCGGGGTCCCAACTATGTTTTGGACTTCCGGTTGACATTGGCATTTTCGGTGGCGCCGAGTGGCAACGGCTGCGCCCTCTTAATTTCCGCTGGCTGAACAGTTGCCGCCGCCCTCGCACGCTCCTGAATGCTTCGCCGGCGTTTAGTTGCGCGAGGCGCAGGTGTTGCGATCACCGCTCTGTGCAGTTCTTGCCCGCTGATGCATTCAGAGGGTCTCTGGCGGAACACGGGCATCCGACTGCGACTACAGCCGCTTCAAGCTGTTCGAATCTCCCAGTAAAGCACGGTTGGGTCATTGTTTTGTACAACGCGACTGGCACGAGAATGGCGGATCAAAAGGCGCGTTGGTTCATGTTGAGTTGTGGCCGGAGCAGACATCACCCTACTTGCCATGACAGGTGAATTTCTGCTGAGGCTGGGCCTTGTTCCAATCTGTGCTTCAAGGCGAACTCGCTTGAAAGCTGATGCGTTGGCTCAAGAAAATGGCAACCTTCAACCTGTTTGCCGCTGGAGTTTTTTTGCTTTTCACTCGAGTAGTGGGAATGGCTGGATTGCTAGTTTGCGCTTCCCAGAGGTTAGGGACCTTTGACTGGCGTTTGAGGAGAAACTAAAAGGAAATCAAACACTTGAGCGGTCGCCAATTTTTGGCAATGTTTGTCCAACAATCACTCTTACCCAATCACCCCGCCAAAGGAACAATCCCCAACCTCGTTTCCGCATCCCTTACCCGCCACTCGAGGACTTGGTCCAAGTCCAGTAAATGGTTGATTTGCGGTTCGGGACGTGGGAGACCCCACCGGCCAAAAGAAACATGACCTGTATCCTGTGAGGCAAGCGTGAAATGGTCAGCTTGCATAACATTTACCACGTTCAACATATACCGGCTGATTTAGTGGAGCCCCTTTGTGAAACTTGTGGCATGTTTTGAGGAGCCCCGCCAGTGCAACTCAACACTCACATGGACTGCATGTCCACAGCTCATGCCTGGATTGCTGACCTGCATGCAGCTGCTTTTTGTACATATCCTAGTATGAGGCAGCACTGGCGATGGCAACACAACCACACCCAAGCACTCACATGTTTTGCGACTTGCACCCCAGCATCCAAACTCACAGATTGGTCTGGGCGGTCATAGGATGACCCATGGTTTGAGCAATTGGACGGGGCGCCAGATATAGTTTTGTGCTTTTGAGAGCACCCTCCACTCTGAAAGGGACATTCACGTGACAACCGCAATGTTTGGGGCGCCTTTTATTGTGCCACATACCCATATTCAGATTCGGCCCCTCGAGGGCATGAGTGATTGATGGCCTTGGATGAAGAGGCTGCGGCTGGGAAGCAACGCAAACGACTCACGGGACCCATTTTGGGCAGCTTGGGGCTTTTTGAGAGACAGAGACCATGTGAGCGTCGAGCAAAACCTCTGGAAGACCAATATGTAAAGGGCTGGACATGACAAGTGTAACCTAATGGAACCTTCACATTTTGGGTTTCAACGAAGGCTTCCTGAACAGGGGACGCAATTAGGGACTGGCGGACAAGACTGGGGTTCGGACACCTAAAGCGAGCTCCTCAATTCTGGTGAGCTTCTCGTTTAGTAAGCAGGGTTAAACCATGGTTATGAGGCTGGGGGGACGCCCCCCACTCACACCCATGGTTCTAACCTAACTTGCTAAGGCGGTGAAACATCCAAGTAATGCAGATATTGTTGGTTTCATTCTTCTGGTTTCCCTTCTGCTGGAGAAAATTTGTCAGAGAGTTGTATTAAGTAGAACGCTAGTGAAGAGAAGGCTACCGAGTTTCATTGCCGGAGCATTGGGTACTTTGTTTGGGGGCACAGCCCTTTTTCGTTGTTTTGACGGGAGACCAGAAGGAATCCATCCCAGAAACCCGAATGATGCAACCAAGCAGTGTGGGAGGGAACCAAAAGAAGCTCGTTCCAAGAATGGGTGTTTAGTTGGGTACCTAAGCCACCAACACGGCGCCATTCTGCGCCCCCATTGAGGCAAAGGGCGAGGCAGAGGGCGAGCAGAGTCCGCAGGCGCTGCCTGCAGTGGTCACTTTGGGATCAAACCCAGGGGAGCAGCGAGCAAAAATGCTCAAGCAATTAAGTAAGGGAGCGCTGAAATCCATCCGCGCGAGGTTTTCCAGCAGGCCGCGGAAGCTTGCGGAAGGGCCGGCGGACTTGACTACGAAATTTGCGCAGCGGAAGGGCGCGGAAGGGGAACATTTTTCAACGTCACAAGCGTGTAGAAATCTTTTGCCCCCCGGCCCTCTCAAGCGATTTGTTCAGGCCCAACAATTGTGTTCGCTCCCGGGCCAAAAAACAATTTGTTCGGGCCAACAAATCGTTTCTGCACCCCGGGCCACAAAACGATTTGCACTGACCCCGCAAGAGGCACAGCTTTGCTGCGGAGCCCTGGGAGGATTCGAGCCCCCAGACTTTGCGTTCTGTCGTGGATGGCCCAGCAAATCGAACCCCCAACAAATCATTTGTACCCCCACCCCTAAAAACGATTTGTTCGGGCGTAACAAATCGTTTTGAACCCCGGGCCTAAAAACATTTGTTCGGGCCCAACAAATCGGTTTTGCTCCCGGGCTTAAAAACGATTTGTTCGGGCCCAACAAATCGTTTTGGCTCCCTGGGCTTAAAAACGATTTGTTCGGGCCAAACAAATCGTTGTTGCTCCCGGGCTTAAAATTGATTTGTTCGGGCCAATCAAAGCGTTTTTGAACCCCCAACAAATCGTTTTTGAACCCCGGGCCTAAAAACGATTTGTTTCGTTTTTCTCCCGGGCTTAAAAACGATTTGTTCGGGCCAAACAAATAGTTTTTTCTCCCTGGGCTTAAAAACGATTTGTTCGGGCCAAACAAATCGTTTTTGCCCCCGGGCTTAAAAACTATTTGTTCGGGCCAATGAAATCGTTTTTGAACCCCCAACAAGTCGTTTTTGAACCCCGGGCCTTAAAACGATTTGTTCGCGCCAAACAAAGCGTTTTTGCCCCCGGGCTTAAAAACGATTTGTTCGGGCCCAACAAATCGTTTTGGCTCCCTGGGCTTAAAAAGGATTTGTTCGGGCCAAACAAATCGTTGTTGCTCCCGGGCTTAAGCATGATACGTTCGGGCCAATCAAATCGTTTTTGAGCCCCCAACAAATCGTTTTTGCTCCCGGGCCTAGAAACCATTTTGTTCGGGCCAAACAAATTGTTTTTGAACCCCCGACAAATTGTTTTTGCTCCCGGGTCTAAAAACGATTTGTTCGGGCCAAATAAATCGTTTTTGAACTTAAAACGATCTGTTCGGGCCCAACAAATTGTTTTTGCTCCCGGGCTTAAAAAACGATTTGTTCGGGCCCAACAAATCGTTTTGGCTCCCTGGGCTTAAAAACGATTTGTTCGGGCCAAACAAATCGTTTTTGCTCCCGGTTTTCAAAACTATTTGTTCGGGCCAATGAAATCGTTTTTGAACCCCCAACAAGTCGCTTTTGCTCCCGGGCCAAAAACGATTTGTTCGGGCCAACCAAATCGTTTTGGGATTCGCGTTTCAGGGCTCGTCGTTTTGAGTATGGTGGAAAACAAGCTCAATATCTAGTTGTGTTGGCTTGGCAAGAAAGAGACGCAAGCCGCGGAAGGCGCGGAAGGGAAATGAGAGCGTGGAAGCAAACACCCGCAGCGCGGAAGCACGCGGAAGCACCAAACGATCGCAATTTGGCCTATTGGTTTTGATCACCGCTCATGGGGGTTTATATGGACCAATGGTACCATTTTGGGGTAGGTCTTTGTTAGTCGGGATTGGGATGTTCACTGGGGGTACAGGGTTTTGACGCATAGCCATATAACCACCCGTGCTTCCCTGCGTGTCATCATCTATCTGGGGTTTGTTGGGCCATTCTTTTTGACGGGGGTTGAAGCCAGACAAGTTTTGACCAATGGCACATCCAATGATCATCAAATGACGGTCAAACGGCCCCTGTTCTTGTCCCATGACAGAAGAGAACTGCATCATTTTGGCGCTCAAAACCGGGCCAACAGGGCTGCCCAGGGCTCGCCCCGTGAGTCACAAGTTCTAGGCAGCGCTAATGTGCTTTTCGCGTCCGAAAGAAGCCCATTTTGGTCATGAGTTTCAACATCTAGCACAGAACATCGGGAAGTAAGACAACCATGGTCCCGGTTCCTCTTCTAGACAACTCTTCCCTATCGGCCACTTTGGCAGGAGGTTGTTTAGCAGGATTCCGGCGAGACCCTGTAAATCAACACCCCCCAAAAACTAAGGGTCTTACAACAGCTAAAGGTTCATGGTGGTATCGAACACATCCAATTGATCCTAGCTAAACCTTCACCCTCTTGGATGGTTTCCCCTACCTGAGAGCAGAACGGGGATATACCCTTCATACTGGCTGTATGCAGTGGAAAGCATCTTAGATTGGTGGGGTGTGCTCCAAACTCAGGCCCCCTCCAAACCACCCGCCTTCCTGAGGGTATGACAGTCCGTGACAGCAGCTTGTCTGCTATTCGTAGCATCTTTAGTCCCTGCTGTGTGCGGTCCCCGTCAGGATGGGCAGCTGCAGGCCTTCCTGCGGCAGATCAGTCAGAGGCGACTCAAGGGATTTCAGGGGTCCGGTTGTTTGGCTGTGGGTCAAAAGCAATGGAATCCCACTTTTGGGTAGGTGCACCACCCGTTTTAGAACCTATTTTAATGGGGGGAATGGGATGTTCACTGGGGGTACGGGATTTTGACCCATGGCCATTTGCGGGCGTGCCATAAAACGCTTCGCGCCTGGCCAGGGGCTATTTGGTTGAGGCAGCTGGCAAGAAACGACGTTCATGCCTGGCCATGCGCGAAAGAAGCAGCTGCGTGAAAGTAGCCGATTGTCGCTGAAGGACAGCCACAGCCGTAGTCCAAGGGGTGACTTTCCAAGGACCACAGCTACAGCCGCATTCGTGGCCGAGGAACTAGGGCTGGGCTAGGGTGCTTCAGGGTAGCAGGAAGGCGGAGCCGAGGGCTAAATCAAAATCAATGCGGGCGAGCCGCGTGGGCTGTGTGGTAGCGTCTGGGGAAGCAGTAGAATTTGGGCTGAATGGGCTGGGGGGATCTGACCGCTTCCTGGCCGAGGCGACTGCTCTGGCTTTCAGAAAGGAGAACCAAGATATCAGAGAGGACACCCAAAGCACATAGCCTCCGCTACCCAACCAATACCGTCAGAAAGGAGCCGTTTCAAAGTGATAAAGCGTGTTCTTCTATGCGTTGCCATTGAACCCGATGGCGCCAGCAAAAGTCCCCTGAGTTCCTGGACTTGATACCTTGTGAGAAGACCATTTCAGTGGCAAAGATTGTGTGGTTCCTTTGTGGACTCACACACTCCGTTTGGACTTGTCCATTCTGTTTACCAATAGTTCTCTTTTGAAACAAGCAGTTGTCAACCTGGCCCACCCCCCAACAGGTGGCTTTTCTAAGGGTGCCAGTGAGGATTCCCTTTGCGCTGATGGGCCTATACGCTGATTTGGCGGGGCCAAGCTATCCCAAGTCCCCAATCTAGGGATCCTCTGAAAGGAACCAAAAAGGATGGTTCATCGGGGGTCGTTGCAACTCATTTCCTGCCTGTCCCCCAAAAGATCCAGACCAGGCTTCAAAAAATTGATTCTCTTTCTTCTATCCAAGGTGAAAATTTGGCACCTTCAAACCGCCATATCAAGGGCTTCCATAAGTCGAGGCCGCTGGGCTCCAAGCGCAACTTCTCCATGCTCTGCGCGCAGCCCGCCACCTTGGAGTGGGCCCGGTGCCCGGAACGGGGAGGGCCATCCAGATGGGGGCTTAAGGGAAAAGCATGTATTTGCTGGTTTCGGAGGGTTGCGTGACTTTTGGGCTGTTTTTTTTGGGGGCGGCAAGAATCACTTTGTGCCAAACCCAGCTGGAAAAAGATAACTCGGAGGTGTCAAGTAAACAGACTCCTGCCCAGCTTTTGAGCAATCCAATGCGCAAAATTGTAAGAAGGGGCTTAGTGCATGCATAGGTTCGACCAAAGAGACCGGTACTCTACTGCAGTCTATGGTTTATTGGGAGGACTGACATCCAAGGGAAACCGGCCCTACTCATAGATTTCGAGAAACCTGGTTTTCCATGACGGGTATTTGGAGGGAGATTGAAAGTCTAGGCCCCCGGATTGCTTTGGTTGGATTGAGGCATGGTTGTGGATAGCAGGATTTTAGGGCCAATGCCCTTCAAACTGATGAAGTCAGCATGATAGTGGCTGTCACAGAAAGGTTGATTTTCCACAACCATGTTTTTTGGGGAAAGCAAAGGCGCTTTCGGGCCCGTCTTTTTGAGGGGTAGCGATGGTAGGAGATTCAGGCGAATGGACCCACAACAACTTGCCAGATCCATCATGGCACCAGGCTTGTAGCAACGAGTAGAAGGAACCTGTTTTTTCCAGATGGCAATTCAGAAGATACACCTGCGACCTTGAAAGCCCTCAAGCAGAGGGGTTTTCTCATTTTCGAAATTGAGGCGCCAGGTGTCCATAGAACTTCCATTTGGCTTATGCAGGCGAGCGTCACCTCAAGGCTGGGCTTTTTGTTGGAAAAGTTGGTTTGTGTTTGTCTGGGGCTGCACACCCCCGTTTACGGCTTTTAAAGGGACCTAAAGCGAAACCACCCAAAATGCGAGGTTGAGACAAATCCATGCCTACGGAACCGCAAAGCCCTTCATTTTGTAAATTGTATGTGATCTTCCCCTCGAGCAAAAAACACCCATAGGTTTTTCTAACAGTACCCACCCCCCTTCGCTTGAGATGAGGCACTTGTTGCTTTTGGTTCCTTAACCTGCAAGAAAATACACGTGAGCAAACAATAGCATGGAATCCTGGCAATGGTGGCATCGTGAAGATAGGGTTCCAATTCGCTCAGTTCTCTTTTTTGTGTCTTTGTTTTTGTGGGCATCTTGTTGTGGTTTCCAAGAGAAACTAAAGTGACAAGAACCCACCCATCTTGGCGCGTGTTGGAAGTTGTGGTTTTGGCAAGGGAGTCCCCTGTGATGGGGAAAACCCGCGTTGAAGTCTATCAGATTTCGGTTCTTACTTCTCAGTAAAAAGGGAGAGGCACCCGTTTGGGTGGCTGATCTTTTCAGGTTGGACCCGCCCGAAATGGCAATGGTCTTCCGGTATTCCTTTTGCTTTTCCTTAATCACAAAGGGACCCAAAAAGCGGCCAGTTTGAGCGAGGACTTCAGTGTCATGGCCAACCAGAAGCACATCCTCAGCCGCATGTCGGGCCGCGCCCGTCCGGGCGAGGCCCAGACTGAAGAAGGAGGAATTTGCCGCTTGGGGTAGGGGCGGTAAGGGTTTTGGAGCTTGAGTTTTGAATTGACCCTCGAAATCCGACAACGTTGCCCAAAAGCGGGGCTCTTCTGATATGTGGTATATCCAAACTACATGTTTGAAGGACATCGTGACCAAACATAGAGAGTTTTGACAACACATATAGGTTCCATACCTCCAGTCCAGACTCCAGAATTCCATACATATTTTTCGTGGCGCTGTGTGCTTGCCGGGACCCGCAGCTTGCAGCTTGAGTATAATGCAGACTGAGAGAACTGAGATGAATACCAATGAAGAGCTCATCCAACTTAAAGTGGAGACTTTGAGGGACCCATTCTCAAAATAGGTTTTGGGGGCGGGACACCCCTTGAAAATGTCATTTTGGATCCAGACCCATCAAAGTCCTTTTTTGTTTCTTCTCCGACTTTCAATTCTGGGTGAGAACTCATTCGTAATCTGCCCATGAGATTCACGCAATCGACTCGGCTCGGGATCTGATTTGTTCGACTCAGGCCAGTCGCATAGCCATAGCGACACGCAGCCTTTCTATACCCCTACTCCAAGTTCCCGCTTTCTTAAGGGCTGTATCTTCAATTGCCTGGTTTCCCGTATTAAAGAATTACTGGACCCCTATTTTTCAGCCAAGGGTTGACATCATACCCAAAAGCAACCGGGTATTTGGAAGGGGTAGCCTTGCACCGACCACCCGGTGCCCGGTGCGTGCAAGCGTGCAACGCGATGGTTTGGGCAAGGCGAGGTGCTTTTTGACGTTTCAGTCGGTCGAGATGCGGGTATGTGTCAAACTACGCAAAAAGGGTCACACACCCACGCGTTTGGGTATTTCTGTCGGAACCCAGTTGAAGCAGGTTTTGATCAAGTGCAAGCGACTCTAGAGGGATCTGAGCCGCGTTCTTTTTTGGGACAAGCACTCTGCTTGGATGTTTGAACCCAAATGGTTGCAATCCAACCAACCCATGTGTTCCACTTGTGACCCTGGCAATGGCCCACGAACTAAGCAAGTTGAGCATCAAGGGACCACTGTCAAAGTCTTTCCTGGGGAGTCACGTGTCTCCTCAGAAACAAATGACACCAGCCGGTTCGCAGGAGTCACTGCACATTTTGCTTGAACATTTCCTGGAGAGTCATTAGCTGAAGTGTCACCCTGTGCGATGTGCATTGCTTGTGTATGAACGGTAGCCTGTACCTGTTCAAAAAAGTCTGCTTTCTCCCCCCTCCCAAACAGAGCCCCCCCTGTCCTCCGAGAAGACACAAATGCCAGTTTGTTCCTCAATCTGGATGATCTTACTAGTCAGAGCCCCTCAGAAGAAAAAAATGCATTGCAACAAGGGAACGACCCCTGATTGTCACGGTTCCATCATTTTCATTCAAGGGATGTGTGTTTAGGGTGTGAGCAGAATCTACACCACGTAAGGGGCGAACCATTGTTCTCTTGTGGTTGTCAAAATCGGCATCCCTTTGCAAGGCGGCACAGCTCGGCCCCAGTGTCCAAAACGGGCCCATATTTTCAGCCTCTTGTGGTCATGACAAGTTTCCTGGGTGAAATCTCCAAATGCGTGCGAGCTGTAGCTATTGGTTTTGTCTGCTGACGGATTGTTGACTATAGTTTCTACATTCCCACAACCCATTCCAATTATTCTTGTCCGTTTTCACCAGGATCCCTCTGGATGTCACCGAGGAGGAGCTCATGGACATTGTACCCGGCCGAGCATTAGTTTTCCTTTGGTTGTTCGATGGGTGTCAACACAGGGGACCCAACAACTAGTGGTGCTCCTTTCGTTTTTTGGTTTCCCTCTGAAGCAAACCCCAACAAATGTTGCCCTCAAAAAAAACACCCATGGGGCCATGGAGGACTTTTCTCTTTTTTTGACCTGCGGAGGTTTTTATTTGACCTGTTGCCGGGGGTTTCTCCGTTTCCGGTCATGGATCTTGTTTTGTTTCATGAAGCCATCGGTGATTTCACTTGAAGTTGCCAGGATTCGGATGGGTTTTGCCTCACGCAAATCTGGGCGCCATGCCAGGATCTTTCTCACCCCAATCTGCTAAGAGAGTTTTGGCTGAAGCCACAAGGAGAGTTGTGGGGGGTCAAAAGGTGCACCCTTTTGGACCTGCTGGTGCCGCCTCTTGAACAGAGGTGCTCTAATTTTGACGACACATGTGGCAACAAAAATCAATCCTTCAGATGCCCGTTGTTTTCCTCTCGTGTAGTTGATGTGTCGGGAAACACTTCTGGCTCTGATTTTAGAGTGAAGCAAAACTGGTGATCGACCCTTCAATAGGGATTTTAGACAACCGTTGTAACGGTATAGAGGGAACCGTGGCCAACATGAGTTTGTTCGATATACACTTGGGGTGAATGTTTGGGGCCAGAGATAATTCCAGAATGGACAGCGGCCATGCATTGCGGATATGCGCCCTTTTGATTCTTTGCACTTGAGTACCAGTCTTTTCAGTATGACCGCGAAGAATGGGATTGGGATACTGTGTCCCAACAGCTCCAGACCGTCGGCATGTCCAATGTGGGGCTCGGGGGGACTGCACAGTTGAGCGAAGGAGATGGCTACACTTCTTCCATCTTAGCTCAGTCAGGCAAACCTCTCAACATCATTCACATGAGCGTCGGGCATCAGGCAGCCTTCTGCATCACTTTAGTCTAGGCCCATTAAAAGAATGGCTTTTCTGGAGAAACGTCAAAACCAGGAGACTGCCATGAATCACCCCCAACTCCTGGGACTCTTTTTTCAGGGGATGTCATCCCACCGGAAACCTGTAAGTTGGTACAAGTGGGGCGTGTTGGTGTTTCTCGCAAGGGCATGGCTTCCAGATGAGTTTCCTTGTTCTGGTTTTCCTTTCGAACCTATTGGTCAAGGGCTCCCACCCCCAAATCTTCCGGGGCTATGGAGCGTGCCCTGGAAAAGGCTTCCGGGGTGTATCCTTCGCTTATCCTTCGATAGCCTCCCCCCCCCCAAGACTCCAAAAGAGTTAAGTGGACGCCTGTGCTTTGTGGCCCTCTCGGTGAAACAGTGAACCCCTTCGAAGAAAAGCGGGAAACGCCCGTTCTTTCTCGTCCATGGTTTGTCAAAGTTGGGAAATCCCCAACAGGCAGGCAACTCAGACAATTGAGACACCCGTCCGGGCAACACGCCAAACCTCAGGTAACTCCTGATTTGGATTGGTTGGGTTTGAACCTGGTGGGTACACGTGTCTTTAGATGGGCCCCAAATAGATGAAATGAGAACCAAGGAGCACCTAGCCACCTTGCCCCAAATCGCAGCCGAGGCAGATGACATTGTTCAGCAGCAGGTGCCCGACCAAGCCGATCTGGTGGTGTTCAAGGAGAGCGAAGGGCTGCTGTGTCCCAATAGAGAATTTGGAGAATTGTTTTGAGGGTCCTCACTTCCTGAGTTCCTGGATAGTTGTACAGAGACTGTTTGTAATCCACCCAGGAGCGGTCATGGCTCCGGAAATCAACGAGCGCACCGGATAAACGAGCGAAAACCCATGATTGATTTTCAGGCATGTGGGCTCACGGCCATTTGCCTCCTGGCCCTTTGACTGACAACCTGCTCCCTAACCCAGTGCCGCTCTTGCTGTTGATGTGAATCTGGGCATGTGCGCGGCCTGCACGCCGCCAGAATCTTGTAGCTGGCAACCATTGGGCCTCTGGATGGGTGCGCGCTTCTCTTACAGTGGCTGGTCCTGCATGTTTTGCTAGGCTCAGTGAATGTTCGACTGCCGCACAGGCGGCGAATCTCTCCACGTGGAGATAGCTCCGGCAATTTTTGCAGAGGCGTCCACCAAAATCCCGGTATGATGGAACAAGCTCTGGTGCAATTTGAAAGGGCTTCGGGTTCCTCTTGTGCCTCGTGATTTATTTGCTCCTGTTCCTTCCTTCTGGGGTTCTGTGGGCCGTGGGTGTGGTATGCTTCCTGCTTACTTCCTCCTACAGGATTTATTTGTGTGCGTCTGCCTGCAGACCCCCGTGTTGTGGTGATGCCTTGGGCCTGCTTGCGCACCAGTGCAGTGTGCCTAGTGCAGTATGGCTGATTGCCTTTGGACGATTGTTATCCCTCTGGATTACGCGGATCAGCTCGTTGGCTCCGTCACCGCAATGAACGTTTTGTTAAGGGTTGCCCTCCGATGCACGTTGCCATGGAGCCTGACTGAGGGGTCCTTGAAGACTATTTTCCTTTAGAGACCCTTTGGTGCGTTCCATGTTAGTGGACAGGAGGGTACTTTTTCCGGATCGTAAGACTTAGCTCCCACCAGCACAGTTTTGAGAGGATCCAGCTCCGTTGTCGGTAATCCGTTTTTTGGTAGCCGACACAGATGTGGGGGTAGAATGACCTGCGTACCTGAGGTCATAGGCCCCTTCGGGTTCTAGGTCATTCTCAAACAATAGCCTTTTGGCATCTGGCCGGCGCATCACTTCAAATTAAGCACCAAGTTTCCATGTCTGGGAAGTATGTTGGCCATGGCTTCGCTCTGGGCGCGTGCGAAACACTTCTTAGATTTTCGGAGCTAAACTGTTGCGAACATGATTCTCCCAGCCTGAGGACTATTTAGGCGCTTGTGTTGTAATGGGTCTATGCAGCCTCACCAGCGCTTTATGCCAGCGAAAACACGGATCTAGACACAGCCTCTCTTGAAGAAAGTTGAATTTTCAAGACAGCTTCCGGGATGGGACAGGTATTGAGGAAGAATTGGCCAGCAATGATGAACACATGTATATATACATACATGATATGTATATATATATACACATATCTATGAGTCTTACATAAGGGGTATGTACTGCCCTCACTTCCCTTTTTTGGCTCCATACATTGGGATCCCATTTCGTTGGTGATTCAGACACCCAGCATGGGAATTGCTTGGAGACCCACACTCATCCAATTGTGTCGGTGTGTCCAGAGTGGATACCACATCTAGATGTTTGGCATGCAACAACACAC